AGACAGTGCGGGAGGAAGCCCCTGAAGTTCTGGGCACAGCTCCAAGTGTGGCTGGGGAGGGAAAGTGTGGAGAGCGAGGTCTGGGCTGGCCCGTGGAAGATGCTGGAGGCCAGGCAGAGATACTTCAAGGGGTTAATTCAAGTGGAGAGCTGACCAGGAGGCAAGTGCTGGCAGGTAAGCAGTAGGGGTCCAGGGCAGCGAGAATGCAAGTCTGAGCCAAGGAGGTGACATGGGGACTGGGTAGGAGAGAATAGGAAGGAAGGTTTGTGTGGGGACTTGGCTACCAGGAGCCATAGGAGCAAGTGAGGGGAGAGCTGGCAACTGATGCCACAATTCTGAGTGGGCCAGGCAGCAAGGCAAAAGCATCCCTCTAGGTAGCTAAGGCTAATACAACGGCTAATGTTTATTGCGACTGGCTACTACCAGTGAGTACTTCACACATATAAACTCATCTCATCCTCAAAACATTCTTAGGAGGTAGGGTTTATTATTGTTCCCATGTTTTTTGCAGGTAAAGGAACTGAAGCACAGAAAAGTTAAGCAACTTGTCCAAAGTTACATGGCTGGTAAATGGGGGAGCTGCGATTTGAACTCAGGCAGTCCAGTTCCAGAAGCCTTGCTCTTAATCACTTCGCTCTCCTACATCTGTTGAGGTAATGCTTTCAGGAGGAAGCAGGGTTCCCCACTCCCTCTCCACATTCCCTGCCCTCAAGGATCAAGCAGGAGAGTGACAGTGATAGCAGGATTGTTTGCCGGGGGCACTGCCCAGTCAGACCGGGCTGGCTGCCTCTCACCATCAGGCAGAGAGTCTGTGCTGGGGCCTGCACGGCCCAGATCTCCACCTCTAGGCAAGAGGGCACCTGGAGCCCAATGCTGTCCCCATCAGAGTGGAGTAGGGGGGAAGGACAGGCCACCCTAGAAGTGGCAGCAGCTGACACAAAGAGGGCCTGGCAGGGGAAGACCCAGCCCCAGTAGTGTAGCCCCATCAGGTTCTGGAGGAAGCAGCCCTCTCGCACCCCAAATATGAGGTTTAGGAAGATCAGCTTCTCTGTGATCCTGATCACAAGGCAGTCAGTACTAAGGTGACCAGGGGCAGAAGTAGCAGTGAAACAAGGCCAGAACATCAGACCCAAACAGAGCGTATTGCCCCATCAGGAAGGCCAACCCCATAAAGGCTGCAGCACCACGTGAGCAAGGTAGATGGCCGAGACCTCATGTGACCTCAGGCTGGGGTCCTGGGCTGCAGCCCCCGGGCATGTGGCGAGAATCCTCTCTCCCACCAGGAACTGTCCCTCTAGAAAGTGAGAAGACCCCAGGAACCCCAGCCTGGGTCACTGTGGACACAGAAATCACAAGCTTTAAGGAAGGAACTGAGGTAGGAAGGGAGGAACAGGGAGGGAAGTGGTGGTGGTGGGGTCCTATAAAGCCCCAGAAGTTGGATATTTGCATAACTATTTCTGGACCACAGCAAGAGCTCCAGCGCCATCTGTGCCTGACGCCCAGGCGTGCCACTTGCTGCCTGACAAGGACAAGAAGAACAAGCAGGCAGAGAAAAGGACACTGAGGAAGAAAAGATGGAAGCAATAACTCTCAGAGCTTCTCTCCAACACAACCCCAAATTAACCAAGACAACCTGCACACTTAAGCTGCAATTTGGCCTCCATTGAAATGTTCCTAGCTAATGGGCTTTTGAAACTTCCAACCATCCTGGGCTTTTTTTTTTTTTTTTCAGATTTACATAGCACCAGGCATGTTTTCCCCAAGATGCCACAGCAGACTATTCATAACTTAGATTGTTTCTCCTCCAGGTGCCAGGGTCACATATGACGTTTGGTTACCATGCCAGGATTTGGAAGAGACAGGTCTTACATCCCCAATCCTGGCCAAGTGGACACTCTCTAAGGCCTCATGCTGCAAAAATCTCACCTTACTTTACATGTCTGTAGCTTCTGATCCCGGGAATTACTGAAAACACTTCCAAAGCAGAGTTTGAGGGGTACTGACACCCATTATCTCCACCAGTCCCCTCTTTCAGCTTCCCAAATGCACATACCCTCTAAGTATAGAAGCAGCATCATGCTGACTGTGCAAACTCAGGGGCAAGACAGGACCCCAACCTTCACCGCTGCCTTGATTGCCTCCCCTGGTTCCCTCCTAGACAGAATCCTGGAGCTGCTGCTGGAGCCCCTCTCTGTTCCCCTTCACTTTCAAAAAGCCATGTTCTCAACAGGAGTGAATGAGGTTTGATGTTTCTGGATGCCAGGACTTTAATGGACGAGAACATAGTCTCTCAGGAGAACTTTGAAAATGGGGCAGAGATCTGTCTGTGCAGGCCAGGGTTTCTCACCCTCAGTTTCAGCCTTAGCACATGGAC